CCCCCCCCCCCACATCCCTGATCCCGGGCCTGTGGGAGCGGAGCGGCGTGGACATCTGAGCCCTACCTTGTTTCCAGGGGAGGAAATTGAATCAGGCTGGAATCTGCCATCAGCTGAAGGACGTGGGAATCCTCCCAGATTATCGGCTTCCTTTCCGTTGGTGTCATGGAAAGATCCTGTGATGTGTCCCCCCCCACCCCCAGGACTCACACTTTGCCTTCTTGGCTTTTAATGTGTTCACGTCCTGCCACAAAGATGTGACTGAGAGCTGAGGCCTCCACCGCCTGTCACCTGACTCCAGGACTCACAGGCTGCTGTTAAAGCGGATCAAGTGTCGATATTCTCACCGTTTCAGCTGGATATTCAAGTCAGATTTATGAGTTGTTGTGTTCAGAGACACAAAGGTTCAGTTAAAAAGCGCTGAATCGGAGGGAAAATGGACCCCAGTGGGGTCTCGTGTTAAGTCTGATTAGATAGATAGATAGATAGATAGATAGATAGATAGATAGATAGATAGATAGATAGATAGATAGATAGATAGATAGATACTTTATTGATTCCCAAGGGGAAATTCAAGAGTGTTTCTCCTCCTCTTCTGTTCCGATTTTTGTAATTTAGTTTAACTCCTTTTCATATCTGGGAGCCAAACGGGCCCCGGATAGTTTCCCGTAAAGGTATTGAGCTGCGGCAGATGGATGAGCTGCTCTCCGCCTCGTCTCACCTGCCTCCTCGCCGTTTTTGTGGCCGTGGATGTCTCGGTAACCACAGCAACTACAGCCGTGACTGGCCGGGGTTACTTCGGTTTAAACGGCTGCTCGTCCTTGGCTGCGTTTGCCGGGGAGGAGCTCTGTCTGGAGGAGGATTCCTCCCGTCTGTGGCCGTCTCCACAGGTGCCCTGAGGGTTTTAACCCCTCGCCATTATAGTCGCCATGCAGAAGGCCTGTTCGCCAAACCAAAGACGGTCGGGAGCAGCTGGAGCCTCAGAATCAGAATCAGAATAAGGTTTATTGCCAAGTAGGTTTTTAGACTTACAAGGAATTTGCCTTGGTGTTTGGTGCACAACACAACACTTCTATTTCTAAGTAGAAATAAAAATATAGGACAGAAATGATAAAACCTTTGTAAAACCTACAGTCTTTAAAAATATAGATCCGAATGTACAAATGAACAATTGAAATGTGCAATGTTGATCTGCAACGACAGACCACAAAATGCTGAAAGCATTGGGTAAATTAGTGAGGTAGAGGGGGGGGTGGGAGAAGAATAGGGGTGGGGTCACTGGCCTTGTTGATGAGGCCAGTTGCTGCTGGATAGAAACCGTCTTTATGGCGTGAGGTTTTGGTCCTGATGGTCCTCAACCTTCTGCCAGAGGGGAGAGTTTCAAAAAGTTTGTGACCAGGGTGAGTCACAATCCCTTAAACATCACGGAATAGTCCTTGAGAAGGAGGAAAACCATCTCATGGACATGACATTTCCCACCCCCCCTTATGTCACTGTGCACAGGGTCTTAATTTTCTGTGAGGATCTGTTTTAGGAGAAGGGAAAAGGGGCCGGAGGGGTGTGGCAGAAAGGACAGGGGGGGAGGACTTCCTTCCAGATTTAGAGATCCTGTGAGAGAACAATGACAGGAGCTAATTAGGTGACCGTCACCAGGTCTTTGTGTGGCTCAGCTCTGGGATTTCCTCCTATCTAGCAGCTAGCAGGAAGCAGAGCTTCATACGCAGCTGTAATGTGGTAATGACACCTGAAAACACCCCATGAGCTCATTCTCACCTTTACTAGAGTTTAACCCGGAATTCCCTGAGGTTTTCCCAGAAAACCTGCTCAGTGTCCAGCGGCTGGATTCTCAGGAATCAGGTCAGACGCACAACAGGAGCTCGTGTGTGTGTGTGTGTGCGTGTTTCTGTGGAAATGTTGATGAAATCGGTCCATTTGTTGGGAAATGTCAGCTCACCCGTCTTTATTTTCCCACTGATCGGTGCCAGAGCTGAAAGGCTTTCAAACAAAGTCATGTGGTTGTGACCGATTCTGTTTCTGGAACGGCCTGAAAATGTGAATAAACAGAGCTGGGGGCCAGTCGGTCCTCTGCCCGCTGTATTTCCTCTCATTTCATGGCCTCTTCTGTCACCTTTTCGGGGAGTTAAGTGGGAAATAACGAGCCAGGAAAATCCCATCTCAGATGACTTTTTAAACTGACCTTTAAGAAACGGATTGGCTCCAACTGGCTGTGATTGGACCAAAGCTCTGTGGTTGTATTCAAATTAGGTCTGAATATTTATGGGTCAGTAATGAATGAAGTTGTCAAACGATTCAAAACGAGTCGGTTTGAACATGATGGATATTAATGCGGTCACATTATGTTCACTCGGTATATTCAGGTCATGAATGACCTGGTTTCAAGGTGTAGAAAAGTCAACAGAAGCTTTCCTAAAATAAACCTATTTCCCCAAAACTGTTTAATTTGGAAGAATCAAATCAGATCAGCTTAAACATATGGAATTCCAACACTTTCATCCATTTTTGAAAAGCATTCAGTGACTTGTGTGTGTGTGTAAAATGGTGTGGTCGCCTCACCAGACTGTTTAGAGGAGGATGGGGGTGTGCGTTTGTGGGTCTGTGTGTGCGTTTGTGGGTCTGTGTGTGCGTCTCTCGGTGCATTCCTGGCTTTTCTTCACAGCCCTGTTTGGAGAAAACCTCCCGGGGGAACCTTTGGTTACCAAAAACAAAATTCCCCAGATTTCTGGCAGCTGGTGTGCGGTCACCCCTGGCTGGTCATGTGACCCGCCGTGCCTGGATGCCCCCCCCCCCCCCCCCCCCCCTCCCTGTCCGGGGATGGTTCGCCCCGGCTGAGAGGGGCGGCGCCCTCACACATGGTTTCAATTTGAGGACATTTCCCCACTCTGAAGTTCTCCATTTCTCCGGAGAATTCTTTTAACAAGTTATTTTCCTGAAGTCAGCACATTTTTCTACTGATGCGGCATTATTTGTTTTTTCTTGCCTGGTTGCTATGGGCGACCGTGAGCAGTAATCATGTCATCTGAGAATAACTGTAAGAAATATCTGGGAGGTTGAGCAGTGATTGGTTGCTTTCCCTTAACAGAATACTCGTGTTTCCTCTTCTCTACAAAGACAGTTTTGGAGCCATATCAGACCTTCCAGTAAAAAGACGTCTTCTAAGAATGAGAAATGGGAGGAAAACCCTCCCCAAACAGATTAAGTTATGAAGGACTTGTGATTAATTTCTTCTCTGGTGTAACTTGAACTGGTCCCGGCTGATTATGCTTTAAAAATGAGAAAACTGAATGTGGAAAGACTCCGGTCCCCAGCAGGGATTCGTCCCTCTGGAGGAGTTGTGTGGCTGCAGGTTTCATTGTGTTGTCTTTCTTTCTTTTAGGATCTCCGTACTATGACAACGTGAGACCCCTGTCCTACCCCGACTCCGACGCGGTCCTCATCTGTTTCGACATCAGCCGCCCCGAAACCCTCGACAGCGTCCTGAAAAAGGTTGGTCTCTCTAACTCAAAAGCAGGTCCAGAAATAGGCTGGTTTTCTTTCCCTTTAACACCTTTAAAGCCCGATCCAAGAATAAAACAAAACAGATAATTACTTTTTTGCGGTTTGAATTCCTTATTTGGCCTTTTAACAAAATATGTAAAAAGAAAAAACAGAAATACATTTTTTATATTAATAATTTATTACTATGCGATAAGTCAGGATTATTTTTTCTTCCCCCTGTTATCAGGTGTATCTGATTGTGTACAATAGGATTTTATGCAAAGTTTTTACCATTAAATTATCCAAAAGGAGTCAGACGCAAAACATTTCAGAAGCTGTCTGAATCAAATATGATACATTTGGCATTACAGAGTTAACTCAGTTTTTTGTTGTTAAACGAAAAGGGGAAAAATGCATGAAGGTGGTTGGAGATGTTGAGCTAACATTCCTCCTCACAAAGCCGGGCTTTAAAGCTAAACCCGCCCAGTTTGTGGCCTTTTCCAGCTCAGATCTTGTGATAAAATGTGAGCGAGTGGTCAGAAATCCCAGCAGAGAGGCAGGAAGCAGAAGTCTGGACGTGTCGCAGACACACAGCTGACTCCCACATGTCCTCTGATGCCACAGGCAAAAAGGTCAAAGGTCACCGCGGCCCTGTTTTTCAGTTTCATTTGATCTAATCAGAAGGAGCCCTTTGATAAGCTCATCTTTAACGGGCTCCAGCCACATGTGGGATCCAGCTTTTTCCAGAGAGACCACAGAGATGCAGAGCCTTTTCCAAACAGCCTCTGAAGGGATGAGTGGAGATGTTAGCGGAGCATGTCTGGGACATGCCTCCACTTCCTCTCCTTCCTTCACTTTTTGGATAATTGAGGTCACACGTCAAGGTTCAGCGGAGCTCCACGTCTTATTTATTTAGCTTAAAACCAGGAATGTAGAAGGTAATCTCTCCCGGAGGAGTGGAGCCCTCTGAAATGCTAAACCTCTCTTCTGGGTTGGAGGTCTGCTGCACAGAGGGAAATCTGTTCTCTGGGAATGTGACTCCACCACAGAATAAGATAAGGGACTCATTCAGAGGAAGAGACGTCACCCACCTAATCAATTAGCCACAAAACAAAGGTGGAGGTTGATCACAGTTTAATGTTCAGATTTGAGTCCGTGTCAGATTTATTTAGTGGAAACAGCAAAACCACTTCCCCTCCGGCTTTTCACAAACTGGATCCCCGGGCCTGAGGCGCATTAGCCCAGATTACAGCCCCCAGAGAATCCC